TGTGGTTGGCAAATTTATGTGTTTTTGGTCCAAAACGAAACGTTGGTGCACCAGTGGTCCAAAATTGGATATTTTTATCGGTTTTGGTCCCTAGCCACTTAAAAAGACGATTATGCCCCTCTTATTGTTTTTTTTTATTAATGTTAATGATTTTTAGTAATTAAAAATTACAGAATATCCCATTATCCCTCTGTCACTCTCTCTCACTCACACACACATATACTCTCTCTCTCTCTCTCTCACACACACACATCACCGGTGGTACCTCTCATCTCTTCTACCCCTCTTACATCTCTTTCACTCTCTCAAGAACACCCCGACTGCCACCACCATTCACCTACACCGTCCGCCGCTAGATGCCGCCTGATAACCTTCAGACGCCAGCGATCTGTTTGTACACCGGGGAAGTAGCGACTAACTGGATCAACAAAGACGACGCCACCGATCTGTTTGTACACCGGGGAAGTAGCGACCAACTGGATCAACAAAGACGATGAGAGAATTTAAACCCAAACTGGGTCAAGACCTACATTCAAACTCCGATGACGAATTTAGATCTGGATGTAGGCTTTTCTGTTGATCTACACCTGCATCTCCTTCTCAACCCTAATCCCAGTTAAATGTATCGATGAGTGGTGGTGAACGGTTTATGGTCGACCGATGAGTCAAAGTCATGTCTGAACCCATCGATGATTTGCAGTGGGGGTCACAGATGAGTATACAACTCCTCTTTAACACATACACACACAAACGAACAATCAATTTTCAGGGTTGTCTCTTCTAGAATAATCGAATTTTTGGATTTGTTTCTAGAACTGGACATCGATTTTGGAATCTAAAAATGCTTCTGGGTAATGGGTTTTCAAGAACAATCAATTTCTAAAAATTCAATTTTTTCAGTGTATTTCATATCATTTCTATGTTTAAGGATTGATTTAGAAGAATGGTGGAGAAACGAAAAGCTTTGGTTGATCGGAGTTTATGGCGTTCATTTGGCTGCTGTTCTTCAAGGACTTCTGAAAATGATTGCCAGAATTTAAATTGCGTTAACATTGACGTCAAAATCTGATGAAGATGAAGAGTTTTCATATCTGTATACTTTGAAATGGATATGTATTCTTCAGTTTTTGGGTTATGGCACTGTTGTACCCATCTGTAAAAGGGTTGATGGGAAGAAGATGGAGAACACCAATAATTGTGTTTGTGTGGT